TGAAATAAATAGCTTAGAAACACAAATGATTTCATCTCGCATGTTTCTAGCAATGACATGAAATGGAGAGCAAATGGAGAAAGTCTGCAATCAAAGCCAGGGATTTCAGTTTGAACAAACATTTCTCCCAAAATAAGATTATTTGAGCAATGCAATCCACATAATGATATAAATGATACTCTTTTATCGTATCCTAACCAGACTCAACCCAGTGGATGTCCAAACCAGGGTTATTAACTCTAATAGTTAAAACTAAAACCTTTAAAAGTATTTTCAGTGCTTGAAATAAAACAAACATTACCTGAAATAAAATATAGAATTGTTTTAGATTTTTAAAACTTTTTTAGAAGCATTTCTCACTTTAATTTGATGTACTAAAATAACTGAAACAGAAATAAAAATGATTTTTTTTAAAACAACTAAATTTTAAAAATGAAATTATAAAAACTAATTCAAAATATGAATAAAATCTCTAGTGATACTAAAATAACACTGTTCCAGACTTCTGTACTGCGTGACACAATTACATTTGATGTTTTTATGTTGAAATCTCAACCAATGAGATGTCACAGTGGGCGGAGCCACTGAACGATCATCATTATTGCATCGCACCGGGTTCAGACGCAGTGTTTCTGATGGACTCATGTCTATTTTTATTTCTCCTAAAGACTTTTAAGAGAAACATCTGGCACAAAGTTGAATGATGACAACCATATACTCTTCCCGCCAGCCTCTCGTCGCTCTGTCTGACATTCAAAGGCTATGCCGAGTATGAGTGTTGGTTGAACAAAGCCAAGTTCAGATGTCTGTGTTTTCCCAAAGCTCGGTCCTGCTATAAATACCCGGCGGCCCGGCCCGAGGTGTTGAGGAACATTGGGCTCGTGGACACTCTGCTGTTGTGGAGTTGATAAGCAGGTGAAGAGGGTTTCGGTGAAGGTGTTTCGCTGGTCGACTGCATCTCTCCTTCACCTCACCCCTTTTAGAGTCGCACGCCCCGCCGGCCCGTATCGGTCTGAGTGGCGCCTCGTCTGATAGAGAGCGGCACACACTTCACTGAAGTATTGCCTAAAGCAGGGCTTTCCGATCTCTTCAATCGCACAAATGTGAGGAAACCTCATCCTAAAATCTAAAAAGCAGCTGCATATTTTCATGTGTAAAGATCCAATTTATACTGTGACAAATTATACATATGTGTAAAATATTATTTGGAAAATTTATTTTTATATATAAAATTATATTTATTTATTTTATTTGTTTATATAATCAATTTATTTAGTTAATTTAATATATTTTTTGTTATTTATTTATGTATTTTAGTATAATTTTTGTTATTTATTTATTTAGTTTAATATATATTATAATATTTTATTTTATATATATAATGTATTTTATTATACATTTATTTATTAATTTTAATCTATTTTTCATTTAATATAATTTCTTATTATTTATTGATTACTTTTTTTGATTGATTTTATTCTCATGTTTCCTATTTATTTTGTTTATTTTATACATTTATATTATTCAAAAATTTTATATATTTACTTATTTTAATTTTTTTTATATATATTTTTTTTATCTGTATTTTTATTATTGATGTATTTATTTTATTGTAATTGTATTATATATTTATTTAAATCTAGTTATTTATCTAGTTTAATTGTATTATTTATTTATTTTTTACACTCTTTTTCTCTAAGCGTTCCCTCGGTTCCTCGAGTGCTCGGTTTGAAAGCCCCTGGTCTGAAGCACGACACACACACTCTAGTGTCAGTGTGTTGAAGGGCAGGCGGCACCTGTGACGACCCATACGAGTGTGTGTGTGTGTGTGTGTGTGTGTGTGACGCACTGGAGCGGTTCAATGTGTTCACTTTCAGGCGCCCACACAGACGGCACACATCCGTGCTAATAGCAGATTTCCCAGGAGAGCCGAAGCCAGGAAACATGTTTGATTAACCAGTGGCACAAGAGCGCATTCATGCGACGCAGACTCCGAGAGAGAGAGGGCCGAACGACACGCTGAAGTGATTGGGCTCATTAGAAAAATCTCAAAATCAGCCTCCGATCAAACGCAGCCTATCAGAGAGCGAAACAGCCACACAAGTCCTCGCTGACACGGAGACTCCCGAGGCTTTCCCCAGAGCTGACAGGCTGTTGTTGTGTATCACTGAACGCAGGAGAGTGAGAGTTCAGCTCTCCAGATAACTAACCAACAGATGCGACTCAACAAGTTTCAGTCGGTCTGTCCACAATGAAGGCGACGATCTTAGCCAATCAGAACATGCCTGATGTTTAATAGACAGGACTTTAGACCAATGAGAGTTACCTGTGGGCGGAGCTACCCGGTGCAACAATGCAGGATTAAGAAAAAACAAATGGAAATGTCAGATTCATTGGGATGTGTGAAGTTCATAATAATTAGCAAATGAATGAACATGCCATATCTTAAAATTCATATTCGTATCTTAGCCAGTTTATGGGTTTTGCGATGAGATGTTATTTTACAGTTTCGTTATCTATCTATCTATCTATCTATCTATCTATCTATCTATCTATCTATCTATCTATCTATCTATCTATCTGTCTGTCTGTCTGTCTGTCTGTCTGTCTGTCTGTCTGTCTGTCTGTCTGTCTGTCTGTCTGTCTGTCTGTCTGTCTGTCTGTCTGTCTGTCTATCTATCTATCTATCTATCTATCTATCTATCTATCTATCTATCTATCTATCTATCTATCTATCTATCTATCTATCTATCTATCTATCTATCTATCTATCTATCTATCTATCTATCTATCTATCTATCTATCTATCTATCTATCTATCTATCTATCTATCTATCTATCTGTCTGTCTGTCTGTCTGTCTGTCTGTCTGTCTGTCTGTCTGTCTGTCTGTCTGTCTGTCTATCTATCTATCTATCTATCTATCTGTCTGATAGTTCGGATATCTGTCTATCTGTTCGGGATGTCTTTGTTCACAATCACGACTTGCTCTGGAAAAGGCAAAGAGGATCTGAGACGCAAGAGAATAATACATTTATAGGACGAATCTTTAACCTTTTAACCATAATTACACTCATTACTGTCCATTTAAAATCCATCGAGTGAAAATTGTTCATAAGACGAAACTGAGACGTATCAATCCGTCCCCATCAGAAGTGAAATATCGACACAGATGAGAGTTCGAGATGCTGTAAAGCACTCGACGTTAGGAAGTCGTAGGCATAATTAGTGTGAGTTACGAGCATACATGCACTTCTGAAAGTGTAAGAGACCAAAATAAAACATTGTAGGCGTTCTTCATTAAAGGACTGTATTTCCAGTCCCACGATTCCAGCGCTGAACTGTAATTTCCAGCGTCATGTAGAAGAAAAAGCCGCTGTCATTTACTGTTATGAGCTTGTAGACTTCCACACCTGTAATGAAACCCTGTCATGAAAATGTCCAGAGAAAGTTTTAATGAGAAGTTTGACTTCTCAATGATCCCTTACATATGTAATGCTCAACTGTTCATAAAATAGTCTCACTTGAATGGCAAAATAATGTCCATCAGACGTCTCATCTTCTTCTGTCCTCAAGGCCCGTTCACATCAAGTGTGATAATTATTATGATGATTACTGGAACTATATAAGACGATATCGTTCTGTTTAATATACGCGCTGCAGTTTATGTCGTCTGTCTCTTTAAATGCTCAGGCTTTTTAAAGCAGGAAGGATTCTGATTGGCTGTCATTGTTTTTATCATTGATCAATTCGTATTGAAAGTGATTAGTTTCTCTTTGCCGTTATCATTACAGTTATCTATCTATCTATCTATCTATCTATCTATCTATCTATCTATCTATCTATCTATCTATCTATCTATCTATCTATCTATCTATCTATCTATCTATCTATCTATCTATCTATCTATCTATCTATCTATCTATCTATCTATCTATCTATTGTTCTATCATCTATCTATCCATCTATCTATCTATCGTGTTTCTTTTATATTTAGAACTATATTTATGTTTATCATTATAGTCGTCCTCCTTGGTGTGAACGGGCCTTTAAGACACATTTTTGCCGGTAAAAACAGACCCAAATGAATGAATAGTTTAGTGCACGACATGTATCGAGCTATAGCATGATGTGGAGCGGCTCAGATCACGTGATGAGAGATGTGTGAGTTCATACTGAGATCTCGGACTTCTGATTATCTTGAGCCCAGATTGAGACATTATTGAGACTCTTGAATCTCTTGACTAGAGGAGAGACACATGAGACTACAGGAGTCACACACATCTGAGAAGTCTTCATTTGCTCTCCATCTAATCTCATTAAGGTGTAGGAAAAAATTGTCTATGGAAAAAGAAAACTGATAATTTTCTTATTTTTTGGGAGGAGTGTCGAAGCATCTTTGTCTGTTTTTCTTAACTCGTTGTACTTTATTCAGTCTTTTCATTATGTGCACTATTCTGACCAACTGTTGCTTCATGGCCATGTCTGAACCAGCGCAGTGGGCCAAATACGTCGAGTGAGTATCGTTCCCTTCTTCTTTCCCAGCATTCCTGTCCTTCATTCCTGTCTCCTAAACCCTTCTCTCTCTCTGTGTATTGACCTCTGACCTCTGAAATGTGCCCTATTTGTTCTGATGTAAAGGTGTTTGTTGACTTGTCAACCTCGATTAGCATGTCAGGTAATGATCAGACTGAGCCGGAGCCGTGACGTCGAGAACTGCACCTCATAAACACAGGAACTAGATTCATTACAGGGAATGTTGTCAAAGGAATGTAAAAGAAATTAATCATTCTCAAATTGGCCAATACAATTTTTTTTTCAAAAGAACATGGGTTAAAATCAATAAAGCAATCAATCTATCTATCTATCTGTCTATCTATCTATCTATCTATCTATCTATCTATCTATCTATCTATCTATCTATCTATCTATCTATCTATCTATCTATCTATCTGTCTATCTGTCTATCTATCTATCTATCTATCTATCTATCTATCTATCTATCTATCTATCTATATAATGTATTTCTGCCCATCCATCCATCTTTTTATCCATCTTTCTATCCATCTTTCTATCTTTCCAACCATTAATCCATCCATCTTTCTATCTATCCATCCATCCATCCATCCATCAATTAATTTTTGGATCTTTCCAACATCCATCCATCTTTCTATCTTTCCAACCATCCATCTATCCATCCATATTTCTATCTTTCCATCCATCCATCTTTCTATCTTTCCAACCATTAATCCATCCATCTATCTTTCCAACCATTAATCCATCCATCCATCTTTCTATCTTTCCATCCATCCATCCATCCATCTTTCTATCTTTCCAACAATTAATCCATCCATCCATCTTTCTATCTTTCCATCCATCTTTCTATCTTTCCATCCATCTTTCTATGTTCCCATCCATCGATCCATCTTTCTATCTTTCCATCCATCCACCCATCTTTCTATCTTTCCATCCATCCATCTTTCTATCTTCCCATCCACCGATCCATCAATCCATCTTTCTATCTTTCCAACCATCCATCCATCTTTCTATCTTTCCATCCATCCATCCATCTTTCTATCTTTCCAACCATTAATCCATCCATCCATCTTTCTATCTTTCCATCCATCCATCCATGTTTCTATCTTTCCAACCATTAATCCATCCATCCATCTTTCTATCTTTCCATCCATCCATCCATCTTTCTATCTTTCCATCCATCCATCCATCCATCCATTTTTCTATCTTTCCAACCATTAATCCATCCTTTCATCTTTCTATCTTTCCATCTATCCATCTTTCCATCCATCTTTCTATCTTTCCAACCATCCATCTTTCTTTCTATCCATCTTTCCATCCATCCATCCATCCATCCATCAATTAATTTTTGGATATTTCCAACATCCATCCATCCATGATTTGATTTCCTGTAAGTGTATCATCTCTCTCTGGCTGTTGTTCAGCTCGTGTATCTCAGTGTTTCTCTGCTTGTCTGTTGTTTTGCGCGCTCATGTCTAGCTATCGGTCTAACCATTGTCCGGTGTGTCTGTCAGTTGATCTGCTTGTCTGTCTCTCGGTTTGTGTGTCCATCATCTCCAGCTTCAGTAAGGGCCCCAGCAACCCCAGCAGAAGTCAGCCCATGCGTACGTACATCCCAGTGGATAGACCGGATTTATCCCATGTTTTCCCGTGCAGCTCATACAGTTTGAGATGTGTGTGACCTACAGTGTAAGTAACTGTAGGAAACGAGGCTTGTGCTTGTAGAGAAGCACGCAGACCTTTAATGAAGACCCCTCTCGTGGCGTTCTGCACCGTGACTCACGAACGAACCGAGCATCTGATCTCTTCATGTGAAGAGGTGTTAAAGCATGTAGAGCATGCGACAACAACACCTGTTTTTGAAGCCAGTGAAGTCGTACCTCTCAGCACCCTTTGAAGAGATTTACACATCAAATTTACAGTCACGTACAATGACCTCAGAAAGTATCGGAACGCTTTTGAACACTTTAATCACACTTGTACATTTGTGAATGTCTTTGCTATATATAGGACCTGAAATTAAAGGAATAATTCACTTAAAAATGAAAATTCTATGAATTAATTTCTTCTACTGAACACAAAAGAAGATATTTTAAAGAATGTGCTTCCTTAGTAGGAAAAAAAATACTATGAGAACATGAACGTAAACAAATGTGAACGGCGCTCGGGACGGTCCACGGGCCAGCTCACACACACAGCCGTGTCTCAGACAGACTTCCTACACTTGAACTGACATATTCACACACATTTATGCCAAAAAATGGCAAAGTATCCGAGTAAACACAGTGGGTTATGGCTTGAGTGAACATAAACAGTTGAGTAAGACAACACATGTGTATCAGTACATTGGATCCGTGCATTCACTCTTAAAGTGACAGCAGCCTAATATTCCTGCCGGTGTCTGTGTTTTAATGTTAATCAAAAGGACAAAGAAAAAAATCACTCAATGCTCTTGACTGAATAACTTTTGAAATTTTAATAAGTTGCACTTATTAGTGAAGACTATCCAGTGTTATTTTACATTTGATTACTTTATTCAATGTCTCTACCTGAAAACTACCATTACATGTCTTAAATAATGTTTTAAAGTTATATCAGTTAGGCGAATAGATTTATCTGTGGTATCTAAAATTTTGGTGCCATAAATTTGGTGTTTAATGGCGGTAAAAATTATTTATGGCCAGTCAATTTCCCGGTAAAGTCACCGGCCATTGGCAGGTGTGGCTAAAATTAAGTTTTAGGCCCTGGCTATATAGCATTATTATTGTAGTTATATATTATTATAGAATTTATTAATATTGGTAAATGTAGTCATTTTAATGCATTTTAATTTCTTTTCATTTTAGTTTTATTAATTTTAGAATTTATTTCAGGTAGTCGCCAATGAAAATTTAAATTTTTTCATATAATATTTTATGTCAGCTTTATTCCAATTAATCAATGCTATTTAAATGCCACTTAGATATTTGTATTTTTTAAATTATAATTTTTAAATTAATTAGCAATTAGTTAACAATAACAAAACAGCTATATACAGTATGTGCGAATGTAAACGCTAAATAAATATCGCATTAATTGATATCTTGCTGTATAATCCAATGACATTCATATATTTTAAAAGTGTAACTAAAGTGTGTAAATACATTTTGCGGCCACTGTATGCATACAGGAACATTCTGCATCTCACGGACCGGCCCAGATGGGAATCTACAGTCTTTTTATGCATCTTCCACACTGAATTTGGAGAAAAATCTATGGAATTCTGGGATTCACACAATATATAGTAAATCAAACTGAGAATTCTTCTCTTTTATTGGCCGCTGAAGCATGAATGAATGAAGGAAAATATTTTAGAAATGGGAAGCAGACGTGCAGAGCTTTCGTTACGATTCTTCAGAATTCTGTAGAACTTTCTTCGGAACTTTGTAGAACTTTCTTCAGAATTCTGTAGAACTTCGGAATTCTGTAGAACTTCGGAATTCTGTAGAACTTTCTTGGGAATTCTGTAGAACTTTCTTCGGAACTCTGTAGAACTTTCTTCGGAATTCTGTAGAACTTCGGAATTCTGTAGAACTTTCTTCGGAATTCTGTAGAACTTCGGAATTCTGTAGAACTTTCTTCGGAATTCTGTAGAACTTTCTTCGGAATTCTGTAGAACTTTCTTCGGAATTCTGTAGAACTTTGGAACTCTGTAGAACTTTCTTCGGAATTCTGTAGAACTTTCTTCGGAACTCTGTAGAATTTTCTTCGGAATTCTGTAGAACTTCGGAACTCTGTAGAACTTTCTTCGGAACTCTGTAGAACTTTCTTCAGAATTCTGTAGAACTTTCTTCAGAATTCTGTAGAACTTCGGAATTCTGTAGAACTTTCTTCGGAATTCTGTAGAACTTTCTTCGGAATTCTGTAGAACTTTCTTCAGAATTCTGTAGAACTTCGGAATTCTGTAGAACTTTCTTCAGAACTCTGTAGAACTTTCTTAGGAATTCTGTAGAACTTTCTTCGGAATTCTGTAGAACTTTCTTCAGAACTCTGTAGAACTTTCTTAGGAATTCTGTAGAACTTTCTTCGGAATTCTGTAGAACTTATTCTGTAGAACTTTCTTAGGAATTCTGTAGAACTTTCTTCGGAACTCTGTAGAACTTTCTTCGGAATTCTGTAGAACTTCGGAACTCTGTAGAACTTTCTTCGGAACTCTGTAGAACTTTCTTCAGAATTCTGTAGAACTTCGGAATTCTGTAGAACTTTCTTCGGAATTCTGTAGAACTTTCTTCGGAATTCTGTAGAACTTTCTTCGGAATTCTGTAGAACTTTCTTCAGAATTCTGTAGAACTTCGGAATTCTGTAGAACTTTCTTCAGAACTCTGTAGAACTTTCTTAGGAATTCTGTAGAACTTTCTTCGGAATTCTGTAGAACTTATTCTGTAGAACTTTCTTAGGAATTCTGTAGAACTTTCTTCGGAATTCTGTAGAACTTTCTTTGGAATTCTGTAGAACTTTCTTCGGAATTTTGTTGATGTAGATTCCGTGTGGGTCTGAATGAAAGTGATGCTAATTTAAAAAAAATGCACGTTTACAAATGTGATGAGAGGTATGATACAAACCGAAATGAGATTTGACTCACAAATCCACTGAGCCGAGTGAAACTAGGAGGATAAATATGAGCTTTGCACTTCAGAATGCTGCATCTCTCATCGCTCTGCTGGAGGCTCTCTCGCTCTGATGGTCGAAATGACGCGCTGGATTTCAATGGCCATTCTTGTCTTGAGGACCACCAGTTCATCAAGCTTCGACTCGATCATTCATGTCACAGGGGCTGCCGGACCGTGAATGTGCTTCACACCGTGTGTGTGTGTGTGTGTCCCGTGTCCGTCATGATCTCTCTTCCCGGGGGTTTTCTTCCATTCCTCACAGTCTGAACTCCTGTCCATCCCTTCGTTCTCTCTTCCGCCCAGGTACACGTTCACTGGCATTTACACGTTCGAGTCGTTGATAAAGATCCTGGCGCGGGGCTTCTGCATCGGGCCCTTCACCTTCCTGAGGGACCCGTGGAACTGGCTGGACTTCAGCGTCATTGTTATGGCGTAAGTTATTATTTCCTGCATTTTGTCAAATAAATGACCTCTTTGACCCCTCCATGTGCAAGTCACCCTAAAAACATAGATTTTAATTTCACTTAATTCACTATATCATCAAAAAATCGACATTAGCACATCACTACACTGTTTATTATACAAAGTTGTAAATAAAAATATGGTTAAAAAAATATTTCAGTCTTTCACGTTTAATTCGATGATTATTTGTGAGATTTATATTCAAAATTGTTTAAAGTAAATTCTACACCGAATGTTTGTCAGTGTATGAGTTTGCTCTGAATTTGACCCTTAAAACATAAAGAACAATTATTATTTTTTAAAAGAGAAATTATTATTTTATTTTATTCACTATCAAAAAATAGACATTACCACATTATTGCACTGTACAAATGTTGTAAATAAAACAAAGATTTTTAAAGTATGTTTAAAATATACTCTTTATATCTCAAAATGTAATGTTCAATTCATTGTCACTTGCCATTTTGTTGTAATTATTTGTGAGATTTTTTTAAAAAATTGTTTAGAAGTATTTTTTCTTCAGTGTATAATTTTACACTGGTTTAGACCCTAAAAACAAAAATAAATTGAATTTTTTTAATATATATTATCTAATTATTGCACTTAAAAAAATATTTAGTAATTTTGTACGTTGTAAGTAAAAATGATTGGAGTACGTTTTACAGGAGGAAAATACTATTTCAGTCTTTCTACATCAAAATTTTACATTTAATTCAATTGCTGTTTCATTGAAATTATTCGTGAAATAACTTTTTTAATAGTTTTAAAGTAATTCCTACTCTAATTTTTCTTTTCAGTGTTTGACTATACCCTGGATTAGACCCTAAAAATCATTATTTTTTAATTCAATATATTATCTAAAAATAGACTAGATTATGATTTTCCATTACCGTAATAACGATTGTCCGCTGTAGGACGCAGAGCAACAGAGATAATAATGAAACAATAAAAGCTGCTGTTATTATTTTCAATAGGCCGTAATAATCTAATCTCAACCGCTTGACCCGTCAGTGATGGAACTGAGGAGGGAAAGACGTCCATATTTGTGATTAATTGTTCTGAAGGGTTGCGTGTAGAGGAGCGCGAGCACTTACCCCGTCCTTGACCCGAATCCCAAAACACACGTCGCCATGGCAACTGAGGTGAGCGTGGATGTGGACCGATTCCCGGGAGTCGAGCATCATATCGATGTGTCACCGAGTGCCGTTCACATCCAGTAATATCATTCTCACCTCAGTTACTGGCTTGTTCACTTAAAAAGAACATTTGAAATCTGAAATATCCTGGGGAATAAACTTTTAAAGATGCCTATGCACAGATAGAAATAGTCTTTAATAATGTTTTTACTTGTTTTTAGTCTTATAGAAGGCTTTAGATTAGAATATGGTGTGTATATATATATACGCACCATATTCTAAAGCCTTCTATAAGACTAAAAAGACTATAGTGATATTTATCACCATATATATAGTGCATATTTTTATGAACATTTATTGTAAACATAATTACAGTAAAATACTGTAAACTAATTTACAAAACTGAAGAAATTAATACTTTTATTCATCAAGGACGCATTAAATTGATCATAAGTGCCAGTAAAGACGTTTATAATGTTACTAAAGATTGCATTTCAAATAAATGCTGTTCTTTTGAACTTTCTGTTCATCAAAAGTCCTGAAAAATAAAAATGTATCATAAATGTTTCTTGAGCATCAGATCCTCATATTAGAGTGATTTCTGAAGGATCATGTGACACTGAAGACTGGAGTAATGATGCTGAAAATTCAGCTTTGATCACAGGAATAAATTACACGTTACTGTATATTCACATAGAAAACAGCTGATTTACATTGTAATAATATTTCACTATTTTTACTGTATTTTTGATCAAATAAATGCAGCGTTGGTGAGCAGAAGAGACTTTAAAAACCTCAAATGAAAGCGTATTATTTAGTGAAACGCCTGTATGCCGAGTTTGCCTGCGTCTCCTGACTCTTACAGTGATGAAGTGCTGATTTCTCGCTGCTTTTTATGGCTTTATTCCTCAAGCTTTAACAGGCCTGTTGTCCTTGACCCGCGAGTGAGCGACGTCAGACGGACCCTCAGGCTCGACCGCTGCTATAAGTCACGCTCGTATTGGGATGTTGACTTCATTAAACCCAGACGGATGACGGCGAGCGGATAGAGAATAAACACTTACTGCCGAACACCAGGTTTCTATAGAAACAGATCAGCTGTGGTCAAGCGTCGGACGTCAAGCGTAATCATATTTTAATGTGATATAGTGTATCTTGAACACCAGCAGCTCAATGTACAGTCATTTAATCAGGTTAATGATCAGAGAGGATTCAATTTGATATGGAAACAAAGCCGCCAACGTTATACGACTTCATCCCGTCTGTCAAAATCAAGGCAGTGTCTAAATCTGTGCCGACTTAAAGGGACAGTTCACCCAAAAATACAAACTCTGCAAAAAAGTGCCATATTTTTGTCTTGTTTTCCAGTACAAATATCTATAATCATTCTTAAAACAAGGTAACGTTACTGGAGAAGCGAAACGCCCCAAGATTAGTTTTGTTTTCTATAAAATTTATCAAAATGGAGGGTTTTTGTTTGAAACAAGAACAAATAATAAGAAAAAAAATCTTATTTTTCTGACCCATTTGGTAGATATTTGTTCTGCAAAATACATTAATTAAATTAAAAAAATATGTATTTTAAAATGAAAGCATCCAAAATAAAATACTACAAAAGATGATATATATATATTTATTTTTATTTTAATATTTTAATGCTGCATGTCAGGTGAAATCAGAGAACTGTGAACATGTAAATTCAATTAAATTATTTTAAATTCATTAAATTATTTTAAAATAAAAGCAACCAAAAATAAAACGTTTACTACAAAAGATGAAATATATATATTTTTCATTTTAAATTTTTATTCCTGCATGTCATGTGATATCGGAGATCTGTGAACATGCAAATGTGTTGTTAAATTCTTGAAATATCAATCTTTTAAGCTTTTATATTTTATATTTTTTAGCTCAAAGGTCACAAACAAGTTTGGAAATCCCTGAAAGCTTTCTGTGAATTTATGTTGCTATTTTGCTAAATAACTTTATGGTTCTGTTCATGAGAGCATCATCAATATTCACTTTGATTGTATTGAAAATAAAAAATCAGCAACAAAAACACAGAAAGAACTAAATCCACTTAGATAAAAAAATAAAATAAAAAGATTATATGCTATTTCTATATTTTTTTATTTTTCTTAATTCTTTGGGTGAACTATTCCTTCCTTAAACATTGTTTTTTTGGTAAACTATTTCTCTAAGGGAGTAAAATGTACAACATCATAGGAGGTTGTTTAGTTTCCTGACGCTTTAATTTTCTCCCTTTTTTTCTGTCTTTCAGTTGTTTGTCCTTTTATCCATATAACTGTAATTTGATTCTGCAGGTTTCTAACTGAATTTATAAAAGTAGGCAATCTGCAAGCTCTCCGAACGTTCAGGGTCCTCCGCGCTTTGAAAACTATTTCCGTAATTCCAGGTAAGACGTTCCTGAACCTGTGCGCAAGGAAAACGTTTAGTGTTGCTCTCTGTCCAAGTCCAATAGCAAACTAAAAAAAGCTCAGGAGTTTTCCTGCATCCGGTTCTTCCCGCGTTGTGTTCTCCAGTCACCCCTGAAACTGCCCAGCATTCCTGCTTCATTCTCCGCTGTGTTGTTGTTTGCCTGTTGTTGTGCTGTTGTCATTGTCTGTGCTCCAATTCTCGCTTATTGCAGATATGTTACTGAGTTTGTGGACCTGGGCAATGTCTCAGCGTTACGGACATTCAGGGTTCTGCGAGCACTGAAAACTATCTCAGTCATCCCAGGTGAGAGGCCGACGAACGCCAAGGCCTGCAGTGCTAATGGATGACCCGAGCATTTCCAAAACACTCTTGGAAACATGCAGAATGTAGAAAATGAGACTTTTGAGATGGGCATAAACTGAAACCAGCTGATTTAAGTGGACAAAACTCTCTAAAACCATCAGACCAGACCTTTGCATTGCAAAAAATGATTTTTTGTCTCGTTTTCCAGTAAACATTCTCAAAGTCCCCCTGTAGTCCATGATTGTATCCCTTAAAAACTCATCTTTGATCACCAAAATGACATATTTAAACGTTTTTCATGCCTTAAAATATCTTGAATGTAACTCGACACCCTTGCCTCATTTAGTATGCGCGGTTCTATGAATATGCAAATGAGCCCCGCCTCCACTCACTCCCTCAGCTCAGAGATCCACTGGTTGACGATCACACGTTGATCTGATTGGTTACAAGGTCGTTTGTGACGTCAGAAACACCAGCGATTTCAAACCGTGTTTTTGAGACTGTCTTTGGTTCACTGCAGTTTTAAGCAGAAAATACTCAGCAATGCTGTCGACTTATGAACTTACACATGGTGTGTCTTAAAGCGTATTAAAAACACCACATAGACACATAAACAATGCTGGATTATCACCACAGGGGGACTTTAAATTAGCCTACTTCTCAGTTTTCCAAGCAACTGCCATGGAGTCCGGTTCTAAAAGTATACAAATCCATTAATTTTCTCCATAAGGAAATTGATCTTAACTTATAAACCTACTGTGAGCTAAGGGTTGTGTATTGATGGTATATGCTATTGCTGAATAGCCTGGATGCCAGCCCGAACCCCGCCCACAACATTTTTTGGTCGGGATGTTCGGTCTGGATTGAGGAGTAATTATGATCAGTCAAAAAATGGTCGGGCCAATCAAATTGCCAGGGCGGGCTTTATACGATGATGGACAGATGATCTGCAGTTACGTCATCATCACGTCATCAAAGAGCGCTTGGGTTGAACTGGTTTCCCTCAGAGATGACTGCAGCTGGAGAACTGAGATGTAGATCCCGCTATCGCGTCTGTTGTAAAAGAAATCGACAGCGCATTCATTTTAATAGACGAACAGAGAACTGCAATCAAGGCATTTGTCGATCGGAAAGATGTGTTTGCCGTCCTTCCTACGGGATTCGGCAAAAGTGTAATTTATCAGCTGGCTCCGATGGTCACTAAGAAGACGGGATGCAATGAAAACCCTGTGGTCGTTGTGGTTTCTCCTTTGGTCGCACTCATGGAGGGCCAAGAAGCAACACTCGTTATTTTACTTCTTCCAGCGTGCGTGCATGAGTTCTGTAGTTGACAACTGTGCTATGCAAAGTAGTTGACTTACTGCGTTGCTCTCATTGGTTGTAGGTCTATCCAATTGAGTGCAGAGTTTTTTTTTGGATTCGGTTAAGACACGCCTCATAATCAAAGCCCTATGGAGCAGTATCAGACTCACATCTGACTAGAATATGAGTATGACGAAGTCAGGCTAATTGCTGAAGCCATCAGTCCACATTATTTCAACTTATTTTTAAAAAATTCATGTCTAACTGTTAAAAAAACTACATTACTCATAATACTGTACAGAAAATTCCCCTAATCAGAGAGCTGCGGTGAGCCAATAGCAGCAAAATAACTCTTAAGCTCCGCCCACTCTGATAAAGCATGCAAATTATGTAATCGAGTCAGTCTTGCGATGCTGTTAAAATACTTTGATTTTGATTTGCAATGATTCATGGGATTGTAGTTCTTTTCCTCATTTGAAGCCATTAAGTACACAGTCTAGTATTTTCAAAAAATTCTTTGCTTTAAATGAAAGTTTATAATGATGTGATTCACCTCATAGGTGGTTGGTTTGGTTGTAGTAGTTAGCACTTTAACCGAACTTTAAAGGGGTAGTTCAAACCAAAATGTAAACTCTGTCAGTAATTACTCTCCCTCATGTACAATACTTTTTGTGCGCAAAAAACAAACAAAAATAACGACTTTATTCAACTCTTCATGTCCTTCTCTGTGGGCCTCGAGTGAGTTCACGTAGTGTAACAGCGCAGCGCTTCTGGTGTACGTCACACGCAGGCTCACTATTGGCCAGCATCACACGCATCACACACATGACCAGCGTCGGCCAATAGTGAGCCTGCGTGTGACGTACACCAGAAGCGCTGCGCTGTTACACTACGTGAACTCACTCGAGGCCCACAGAGAAGGACATGAAGAGTTGAATAAAGTTGTTATTTTTGTTTGTTTTTTTGCGCACAGAAAGTATTCTCGTCGCTTGATAAACTTAAGATTGAGCCGCTGTCGTCACTCGGACTATTTTAACGATGTCTTTAATAACTTTTCTGGGCCGGCAATTTTCGATCCCTTAGAAGCCTATGGAGGAGTGATCCAGCTCTCAGATTTAATCACAAATATCTTAATGTGTGTTCTGAAGATGAAGGAAAGTCTTACGGGGTTGAACAACATGAGGGAGAGTAATTACTGACAGAGTTTACATTTTGGGGTGAACTATCCCTTTAAGTCCCTATGGTAAAAATGCTAAGAGAACCGACGCCAGGCCCTGTCGCTCAGTTAAAGCTGTTAACATTAGACACATTAGAGCGGCTTACCACAGGTCAATCACACACACAAGTGAAATGACACCAGGGTTGCTGGTTCGAGTTACCGTCACCTGTCAGCGCTGGGTTCAGTTAACTCACACTAAGAGTCTCATTGCACCGTGGTGGTTGACATGTTAAAGGCATGGGTAGATGTAGAGAACATGACTTTGCATGGTGAGCCAGTGAGCCGACGCTTCTTATGGAATCAGAAATACAGCTATACACATGAAAGTTAAACACACACACACATAAATATGCCTATATATAAAATATGCATTATGAAAAGTGCAGGTTCTGGTTCCACAGAAGCGTCTGTTTTAAACTGTCACATTTTGTGTGCTTCCCGCACCCACAAATGTGTGTGAAGACAGCCCTAGATGTGCCGTGCTGTGCTTGTGGTTTAATGTGCGTGATTGATGGATTAAAGATGCGATCCAGGGTTTGGCAACATTCAGAACGGTGTTAGTTTGATATAAATTGGCAAAAATTTACTGGAAGTTGAATTGGAATTTGATTGGGAAGAAATACTGAATTGCAATGGGGAAAAAAATCAAAACAACCACAAAAAAGGTTTTGTAACAGTAATAATTACATGGTTACACTTTATATTAAGGTGTTACAGTGTATTTATAAATGCAAGTACTGTGTAATAATAATTAACACACGTTACTTACTATAGGGTTTGGTTTAGGGTTAGTTGCATGTAATTATGCATAATTTATGAAACTGTAACAGTGGAATAGTTTAAAAATAAATATTATATTCTTAATATATTATTTTCATATTCTAGAGTATTTGCAAATTTTTCAACATTTAAAACATATATATTTATCAATTTTTTACACTCTTTCAGCTTGATAATTAAAACATGTATTAGACTAAAAAAGTATAGGTGACATGAAAAATACATAAAGAACGTTTATAGTTATTAAAAATAAAATGTACACATATTTTTTTTAAATATTATTATTGTTAATTATACAGTATTCATGTCACACACACCTTAATTTTTAAGAATAATAATTATACATGTACTAATATAATATATATATGTATATATATTTCAATGACAGTTCTGAGTTTAATAGTCATGCTCAATCAGATTTTGAATGGTGCTCAACCCTGATCTAATGAAATGACAATTGCTTTGATTTGATCAACTAGAAATTAAAATAAGCACAAATGAGCATATAATTTGCATTGAAACTCAGTCCAGCCTGGCTGAGAGAGCCGGTCCTCTTCTGATCTGCTGGTGTGTCTCGCTCAGGCCTGAAGACCATCGTCGGCGCGCTCATTCAGTCGGTGAAGAAGCTGGCCGACGTCATGATCCTCACGGTCTTCTGCCTCAGTGTGTTCGCTCTCATCGGCCTGCAGCTCTTCATGGGGAACCTGCGTCAGAAGTGTGTTCGCAGCACCACACACTGTCTCAACACCACCTTACCTTCATACAACAACAGCACTTTCTTCTGCAATAACAGAACCTGGCCCTCGCTGGAGGACTTTAACAATAATGAAGGTCAGTGAAGCTCAAACGTTGACTTCCTCAAGTAGATCATGTGTATCTAAAGCCCGTTCCCCCATATGACGCTCTCTGTCTCTTCCTAATGTTACTAATACCTATCTATAGAAAATACCATCACAAGTGATATATACAACTAAGATATCATTCTAATTTGACTAGGAATTAGGCGTAAAGGGGTGGTATAATGTAACCTGGCCCTAGCCAGATGAATTTCGCTCCGCCTAGCTTCACTCACATCCATCTGGAACCTCTTCCATTGAGAGTGATTTCTCCAACCAACTTTATGGTTTAGCCAATCAGGACGCAGGGCGGGAGTTTCATAGATGTGACGTAGTGGAGAAGCGACCGTGAGACTGTTTTGATTCAGACAACAATGGCGGCTCGCATCGAGGAAACAAGCGTTAACATTGATGCTGCTATTTCATCCGTGTTGTCCAATCTACCTAATATTGTTTCATTAAAAGAACATCAGAGAACGGCTCTTAAGGCTTTTGTTGGTTATTTACATTAGACTATAAACTTGGTTGGTTGGTTATTTACATTAGACTATAAACGTGAGAACTGTTCATATTGTGCTTGCATTACACTGGTTCACATCATTAGCTATTGCCTGTCTTATGTTTCACGATTTGTACTTACCTCAGTGACACTTTGTCGAGCTCTGTTCTCAGTTGTTGGCCTCGACAATTTAGTAGCTGGGGGAGCAGTGGGTGTTCGGGGTTGGGGACGCAATTTCGACGGAGTCGGTTCCCTGTTCCGTTTATGTGCGACAGGCGCCTTCGCACTCACTGATGTTTCTGATGATTGTTCAGAAAGCGGTTCCTCTTCTGCTTTTTGCCATCCTCTAAAATTTGCCAGAGCATCTTCGAGTCTGCCGATCAAGCGAACGCACCGACTGCATATCCGACATGATCTTACCTGAACTTCTGTAAGTCGTTCGTCTATACTTTTTTTGGTTGGCTTCTTTGTTAAAAATAATGTTGCCTTTTATCCGCACATTTTCATGGCACAGACGGCATTGATCATTTACCGACATTGCACTGATTGCACTGCTGCTATATCCAAGATGTCGGCTGTTCTGTTTTGTTTTTTCCTGCGTCGCTCTCATCAGCGTCACGGGTTGGCTTCGGTGTGAGTGGTTGAAATAGCACGTCGATAAAGATGACAGACAAGTGGCTTATCCAATCATATGCAAGGATTTTTGATAAGGCCCAGCCTTCTGAAACGCCATTTCAATGGATCGGTTCCAGATGGATGAGTGAAGCTAGGCGGAGCGAAATTCATCTGGCTAGGGCCAGGTTAGGTATAATGCCCTTTTCACAAGATGTAAAATAAGTCTGATGTCCCCAGTGTGTGTGTGAGAAGTTTTAGCTCAAAACACCCCACAGATATTTGTATATAGCATGTTAAAATTGTCACTTTTTGAGGCTGAGCAAAAACGCACCGTTTTTGTGTGTGTCCCTTTAAATGCAAATGAGCTGCTGCTCCCGGCACAGGGGGCGGAGCTTCAAGAGCTTGTGTCCTCACACAGACACGCACTGAAAATTTTAAAAACTTAATTTTTTAAAACCGGAGTCAGACAAAGATGGAGAGACTCAAGAAGAAGAGACAACATGTAGAAGCAACAGGACATTTCTGAATGGTTAGTTGATGAATTTCTGTAGCTTATGTGTAGTTATCTTATAGTCATTGATTAGCATATTCTGTCATGATAATCTATTAATCGCGTTTCCGGGGGCGGGGTTTATGCAAATTCAAGGGTTGGTGATGTCACTAACCCGGGAGGAAGCTCGTGTAGTTCTACCAGCCGTTTGTTGTAGTCCTAAAAAAACGATTTCTTTAAAAGCAAATATCTTTGAACTTTGAGCGCTGTAACTTTGCAGATGTTGTTTATGCTCAAACAGCAACATTACACACTAACTACAGTTAGAAAAGTGAAATCATAATCAACCACCCCTTTAAAAGAATTAAAAGTAACATTACGCTGTTGGAGAGTGTTGTTATAATACCAGTGTTCAGTGGATTAAATCATTTACTAGATTAACGATCCATCAATCAACAAATTAAACTCCCTCATACTGTCAGAAATTACTAAAGCGTCATTCGATTTGACAAATAATCAATTTTCTTGTTCCTAATAGTCAACATAATGCAGGGGAAACCGTAAAATGAACTGCAGAAGTGCTAAACTTGCATCATAAAATTACTACACATGAACTTTTCTTTTCCATGCCTCGTTTTATTTTACAGGTGAAACTCGAAAAATTTGAATATCGTACAAAAGTTCATTTATTTCAGTAATTCAACTTAAAAGGTGAAACTAATGTATTATACACTCATTACATGCAAAGTGAGATATTTCAAGCCTTTATTTGTTATAATTTTGATGATTATGGCTTACAGATATGAAAACTCATGAGACGTGAGCTCCGCTGCCAGTCCCTCTGATTGGTTGTCGCTCGCGAAATCCGCTTCTCATTTGCATAAAGTTGAAATTAATGAACTTTCGTCTCGCGTCGCTTGACACGCCCACATTCTGTCGCCAACGGTAACTGTCACTCATGTCGCCGGAAGTCGCCAGCGCTCCATAGAAATGAATGGGATCATGTGGCTGTCGCTGGCGGTGTGAACGCTTGAGTCTGAATGCTTAGCAGAAACAATATCTTCATCTCTTACATCTGGCGTGTGGCCGAACGGTTGCTAAGGTCTTCTGAGTGGGTTTTAGCACGTTGCTAGGTGGTTTTTTACTGGTCCGAGTCACAAGAGTCCACCTTCAACTCTCTCTGATGTTCTGGAGTCGAGATAAGATTAGACTGAGAGTCGAGTAAGAACTGCTTTAAAGCGAGATTATAGAGCTGTACAAACGACTGTGAAGCATTCAGGAGACGTTAGTAAAAGTCTCATTACTTTCTAGAAGAAATATAAAAAAATATAAAAAAGTTTTTTTTTTTCTAATCTTATTGTAGGCCTGTTTATTAATATTTTGAATTAGCTTCCATTTTTATTATTTCAGTGTTCAGTAATTTTGTTATATGCCTTTTTCTTATTTAGTTATTTTCAATTTTAGAACTTCAACTTAAAATTTACATCAGTCAAAGTTTTTTAAGTTCTTTAAGTTTTTCTTTAAATGTTTAAGTTTTTCATTTAATATTTACATTTACTTTTTATAATAAGCTTTCATTTCTGTTCATTTTAATTTTAATTTAAGATTTAGTCATTTTGGTATGTGCTTTTGTCTTATTTATTTATTTATTTTTAATTCTTATTTAGCTTAAATTTGTTTAGTTATTTTTCTTCTAGAACTTCAACTTAAAATTCTAATTCTTTATAAGATTTTTTTTTTTTTCATACCATTTAAAGGTAGATTGGTCTAATTAATTACGATAAGTAAGTCTGACTAACCGCTAGTTGGTTAGACGAGTTAAGACTCTGGATGGCTATGTTTATGCAACTGTCCCGTGGTTACATAATCATACTTGTTTGCTACTTACAATTAGCTTTGATTGAATAAATACTTCAGACATAGTCAACAAGAGATTACCAGTTGACTAGATGGCCTGAATGAACCCTGCAGCCTCTGTCACATTGATCACATATTGAAATATGAAGCATGTTGATCATAATCCTGCAGTTAAATGACGAGAGTCAGAAGACTCGACGTCTAAGATGAGATTCAGTCTTATTTTGGGTTGGTCTCATTTCATTAGAATAGCAATTAGGACAGAGCTGGCACTCGATGAGTTGACCCGCAGAACGCAGATGTAGGACGCAGACAGAAATAGACAAGACTTCTCCTGATGTGCTTCGTCATGGTCCAAAACACAGAGAACCTAAACACTCCTCCTGAGTTTAAAACACTTCACAAACCACTGTTAATGGAGTTTCAGAGGTCACCTACACTGCAAAATATTCATCAAAATCAAGTGAGCTTAAAACAAGACAATATATTGGCCAATAGGGTCAAGAAAATAATCTTAATTCAAGGGGGAAACTAGTTTATTATTCTGACTCCACTGGCAAATGTGTCTTGATTTAAGGATGTTTATAATAATAATAATAATTCGTTACATTTATATAGCGCTTTTCTCGGCACTCAAAGCGCGTTTAGATATTTGTACTGGAAAACCAGACAAAAATACTGAGGAAGAAAAAAATTTCATAGATTTATAAAAAAAAAAAATCAAGTGATTTGTATATAAACGTGTAATAATAACATTCTAATAATACATTTTTATTGACATAAATATATTTTTATTCCAATTATTTTTTTGAAATATAAACGTTGTTTCGTAAACACTTCTTTTCATAACGAATTTATTCAAACATATATTAAATATTGAAGATCAGGTTAAGGAAAAAATATGCATATATATTTACCAAAATGCACCAGATTAAATTTGTCTAGCTAACTAATGAGTTTATGCAAAATAAACATTATGTGCAATTATTGTTCACAAGCCATATTATCGTATTATTAAAAAAAAAGATTAAAAAAAGATGCTGTTTGCGAATGTACGCTGGAACGATGGTTTCGGGAAACACCGACTCGTTGAACTGATGATAACGACGGAACTTGCGACCACAGTTGTCTAACGATGCTTTCGGGGAAACACACCCCAGATGTATAATCAAAAGCACCTTGTTAGCGATCAAACACGATATAGTCAGGCCGATAAGCTTGCGCTCCAGGAGAGTTAAGGTTATGCCGACAGCTGGACGGGAAGATCGGGATTCGGGACGTCTGCCAAACACGAGCGCTAGCGTTTCCGTCGCCGGCGGCTCTCCAGCTCGAGTGATGGAGCGAGTGAGAGAGAGACGGCATGAAAATGACAGCCGATAAAATGGAGGGCTCTGGATGCCAACCTGAGGCTGTTGGTCATCTAATCTCTCAGCCACTCTCTTTAACCGGGGGAAAACACACACGAGTTCACCGCTTCTCTTCACAGCCGGGCAAAACAGTGTACGTCACAACAGTTTCTGCTTTACACACACATGTATTGATTCCAGCGCTGAGAAGCTTTTCAAACTCAATCTAAAGCAGTTCAGCTGAAGTCAAATTGAAGCTTTTAAGGGGCTGGTATGTTTTATATATGTAATATCCAATTATGATATTTATAATTTAGGATTCTGAATCAGAGCTGGATTTTTCAAGCACGTAAACACGGGCAGGTTTTGAACCTCCAGTACAGGGACAGCTCGGGTTGCCGACTTCAGAAAAGAAAAAAAACGGGACAATCGTGGTTCTTTACAGGAAAATAATGGACACTCAAAATATCTGTACTCTATCACACAGTACAGGTGAAACTCGAGAAATTTGAATATGGTGCAAAAGTTCATTTATTTCAGTAATTCAACTTAAAAGGTGAAACTAATATATAGACTCATTACATGCAAAGTGAGATATTTCAAGGCTTTATTTGTTATAATTTTGATGATTATGGCTTACAGCTTATAAAAACTTTTTACAATATTCTAATTTTGACTTTGGGGTTTTCATAAGATAAGCCATAATGATCAAAATTATAACAAATAAAGCCTTGAAATACCTCACTTAGCATGTAATGAGTCTATATATTAGTTTCACCTTTTAAGTTGAATTACTGAAATAAATGAACTTTTGCACCATATTCAAATTTCTCGAGTTTCACCTGTAAATGTAATTTCAGGTTCGTATGTGTTTAAAAGGTTCTCAGACAAAAACACATTTGTTTTGCTTAAACTACTTATGTAGCCTACAATTGAATTCTAAAACGAATTTTAAGGTCACACAAAAAAAGTCACATTACACACAAACCATAGTTCAAAATAATAGCATTGATCTGAAATAGAAAGCTTTTGTAACATTATACACTACATTTGAAAGAAATTAAAGAAAGGAATAGCCAACTTTTATTCAGCAAAGACGCATTAAAGTAATCAAAAGTGACAGTAAGGACATTTATAATGTTACAAAAGCTTTCTATTTCAGATAAATCTCCTTTGAAACTTCTGTTCATCAAAGAATCCTGACTACTAATGTTTCTTGAGCAGCAAATCACGTCAGCATATGATTCCCTCAGGAGGATTTCATGTGTTCTGGCGTGGCTGATATTGGACTCATGAATAATAATCACGTTGTTTGAATTCACCAAAACTGGTTTGCCGAAATCTAAACCCGGACGGACAGTGAAAGGGATTTTCCGTTAGCGCAAGTCCGGATCGAACCGGGAGCGACGACAGCAGAGGATTCTGTTCGCAAATCAAACAATGATTTGTCCCAAAAGAATAATTAATTCTCAATGTAGAGTTTGTTATTGGTATGGTGTGATGCGCGTGAGGGAGCGCTGTGATTGGATGATGACGGTGTCGTGATCATAGATATCCATAATAAAGGCTAGATGTCTTACGGCGGAGTCTCTATCGTCATCACCGGCGGCCATCTTCTCACAGGCAAGCTTTCTGGTGGGCTCTGATGTAAGATGAGTGATCAGCACGAACACAAATACTCTTATCTCGTTGAAATCTTGACGGATTTACAAACGGTTTGGTTTCTTACAAACGTTATTAAAGTGGCTATAATTCTGGATGATTATTTATTGATACACTTATTATTCATAAGTGTGCAGTGTCATAACTACATCTCTGATGTTTATAACAAACCAAACCGTTTGAAAATCGGTAGAAAATTGAGCAAGTTATGGTTATTTAAAAAGTACATGCACCATTAAAACACAATGTTATGAGTGAGCGAGCTGCCTGTGGCAAGATGGCCGCCAGTGCGGACGAGACATCTAGCCTTTATTATGGATATCTATGGTCGTGATCATTCTCAAGTGTCGTAATAAACGGTCAATAAACAGAACAAGGGAGGCGTAATACACGTACGGGACAAATACATCAGGCCCAATATGCGGCTAATACGGGACACTTGGCAACCCTAGTGACAGCATTACATTTTTTAATAATAAATAATAATAATAATTCATTACATTTATATAGCGCTTTTCTAGGCACTCAAAGCGCTTCACATAGAAGGGGGGATCTCCTCAACCACAACCAATGTGCAGCATCCACTTGGATGATGCGACGGCAGCCATATTGCGCCAGAACGCCCACCACACACCAGCTTACTGGTGGAGAGGAGACAGAGTGATAAAGCCAATTAGTATATAGGGATGATTAGGTGGCCACGATGGACAGAGGCCACTGGGCAAATTTGGCCAGGATGCCGGGGTTACACCCCTACTCTTTCGAAAGACATCCTGGGATTTTTAATGACCACAGAGAGTCAGGGCCTCGGTTTAACGTCTCATCCGAAGGACGGAATCATGTCATGTAAATCTTTATCTGTGAATGCTCTCACTTTAATTGAGATTCCAACACTATGCAATCAGTCATAAATCATCTGCAGCATTTACCTTTTTTGAATCAAATGTTTTTCTATTCTTCCAGATAATTACTTCAAAGTGGAAGGAGCCAAAGACGCCTTAATATGTGGGAATGCAAGTGATGCTGGGTAAGTGTAATGTGCTCATGTATCTAATGTGCTTTGACTGAATTGCATGAGACACTCGAGGTTGTGGCACAGTTATTTTACCGTGGTATTTTACTTAATTAACGATGGTTGTTGTTAATTAGTTTTAATTAGTCCTTCTGATGTTCATTCATGTTTATTTGGTGCTATAATTAGTAGTAAAGAGGAAGAGATGATCGGTTCACGAGCCGCTACAGATTGTGCGAGTTTACTAAGACAGTGATGTTAAAACTGCATATTCGGCATACATATGACTGATGATGCGTACTATATATACTGGCGAACAAATGAACCCAGAATATGATTGTAAAAAATGTAAAGTTTGACCGTTTTCCCATTGAAAACCATTATAGAAAATGCTTAACGTGCATTATTCACATTCTGGGGTAACTCTTTACAATAAGGTTTATTAGTTAATGTATTAACTAACATAAACTAACACTAGTTAATGCACTGTTAACTAACATGAATTGCTCAATGTTAACAAATACAACCTTTCATTTTAATAACGTATTAGTAAATGTTGAAATGAATATTAACTAATATTAATAAATGCTAAAGAAGTATTGTTCATTCTAAGTTCATGTTAACTCATGAACCTTATTGTAAAGTGTTACCGCATCATCTGTTAGGTGTATACTGAATTTAATCTTTTATTATCACGTTCTTAATATATTAAGATTACGGTTTAGAAGTTCAGCTGGTTTTGTTGATGCTGTTTATGAATCACAAGTGGCCAAAACTTGCAGTTCGTTCACATATCTTCGTTTTCCTTCTTTTGAGAGGTGATCTAAATGGTTTGTGGTTTGAAACAGATGGAAGATAGTAAACTATGAGTGGAATGTTTGGTCTTCATTACTGTATTTCAAACGTGGCTCAGCCAATCAGAATTCAGGGGCGGAGCTATCCGTGTTCTTAAAGTGACATTAAAGGACAATTCGCCTTTGGCTAAGCCACACCCTAGAATGTAGATTGACCAATCACAGCGCAGCCAAGAACGAGCTCCCACAGAGGTCCGACACTTTTTCACAGCGCTCCATTGACTTTAACACAGGCGTCTCATATTTTTGGTCTCGGCAGGCTATTATTACCGTCGTAGTTTTATGAAAAATATGGTTAAACGTTGTGCCTGGGGCATTTGTAACACAGATACGCGTTTCCCAGAGAGGTTGGAGGGGGGTGTGGGTGTTTTTTCCCTTCCCAAAACCGAAGTCAAATCCTGACAAGTGTCGTCTAGCACACGCTGCTAATAAACACAACGTTATACTCGCGTAGTCCGTTTGCTTTGTAATAACGATTATAGAAGTGAATAGAGACCTACCCAGCTTTGCCTGAACAGATATTGTGAGTCCCAGCCTCCGTCTCCATTAGTAGGATATGCGGTGGGTCATTTTTTGACTGTGACCGGTAACGTTATGCTTTTGCCTCTATTTGGATGCCTTGTTGTCCCTTGCGTTTCCCCTGTATGTCGTGAATATAGCCTTCGAACGTATATTGCAGCCCCTTTTGCCTACTTCTATCGGACACTTTATTTGCTGCTTTATAAAAGTTTGATAAAATGTCAGCAGGAAGAGCCGTCACAGCATAAGCCATGTTGATACCAGAGCCCAGATGAAGTTTGTTTGTCGGACGTAGCAACAGTAACTAAGGGGGGCGGGGCTTAGCCAAAGGCGAATTCCGCCGCAAAATGAACCTTTGGTCTAATAACACACGGGTACCGAGTCGACCGTTCTCTGGGATGTGTTTTCATGATAATCGAATGTACCCAGTTTTAGCTCGAACCACAGACTAGCTTATAACGCTAGTATATAGGGCATAGAGCAAGTACAAATAAAAATCGCTAGTTTATACCACTAACAAGGCTCAAAATAGCCCCACACTAACACGCTAGCATAATGAGGGTCCCTACATGCAAACCGAAACATTGAGATCTTTGTAAGTGTACGGACAGTTTAATAAGAAGATACTTTATAAAGACAGTACACTTCGCGTATACAGGCAGGAGCCATCTTTGGAAAACAGCCTCGACCAGTCGAACCACGATTTGTACTTACTCTATGCCCTGTATACTAGCGTTATATATAAGCTAATCTGTGGTTCGAGCTAAAACTGGGTACATTCGATTATCATGGAAACACATCCCAGAGAACGGTCGACTCGGTACCCGTGTGTTATTAGACCAAAGGTTCATTTTGCGCGGAGTTGTTCTTTAACACTTTTGAATGTCCGAACTACATTTGGAAAAGTCAGCTTATGTGTAACAGCTGCTATAAAAGGGCATACCGGATCTAAGAGGCAGTCAGTGTCGAGTCTGACTAAAGTAAATATAGTTGTGTCTCTGAAGTGTCTGACTCAGCAGAACTGCATGTACATGTACAGTCTGAGTCAGTGGCCTTGATTAACTCGCATTCAGACGCCAATGAAGCCTTGAATCAAGAGGAAGGTGTTTGTGTGAACCGGGCCCGAACTGCTTTTTCATGATATTTCAAATTAACCCTTCAGTCGGAAATACTGGGTAACCTAGGATTTTGATTTTTTTTTAAATGTTGTGACAATTTCTTATTTATGGTCATTAATGTCTGCATAGTTTAGACTCTTGGAGATGTTGTGGAGTGCAAGTACAACATTTCTGATGATTTTGATGTTCGCCGGTCAATTTGAGCCGCAATTTAATGGTTAACCGCAGCTGCACAGATTCAAAAAGTGAAAAATTGTATGCATTTTTTAAGTCAGTTTCTCAACTACTCTCAGAGGGTGTTTACGTTTACATTTATGCATTTGGCAGATACTTTTATCCCCAAAAAATGTACATTGTGTTGAAGGCGTACACTTTTATCAGTTCAAGAATATTCATTTCTCTGGGAATCGAACTCATGATTGTGGCGTTACTTCAGGAAAGCACACAAAAATAAATAAAAAAATGTAACAAATAAAACAAAATCTAAATAGTTTAAAAAAATACGGTTATAATATTTTTTTTTAACATATGGTTAAAAAATAGTCAAAATAATTTTATCTCATGTTTACGTTTGCTGTAAGGTGTGAGAAGTATTAATAATTAAAGGTTTACTGTAGTTTTTACCTGATTTTTCGTGAATTGTGAATTTAATCCTCGACATAAAAATCGTACCCAGAATTTGAACATAATACAAGGATGCTGAAAAAAAAGGGTTTATCACTCAGTAATTGCTGGTAAATTTCACAAACAATCACAAAGAAACAGCAACTGAATTAAATTGAACGTAGTAGAACGACTGAAATAGTACAGGTGAAACTCGAAAAATTAGAGTATCGTGCAAAAGTTCATTTATTTCAGTAATTCAACTTAAAAGGTGAAACTAATATATTATATAGACTCATTACATGCAAAGTGAGATATTGCAAGCCTTTATTTGTTATAATTTTAATGATTATGGCTTACAGCTTATGAAAACTTTTCACAATATTCTAATTTTGAATTTGGGGTTTTCATAAACTGTAAGCCAAACAGCTGTATCATCAAAATTATAACAAATAAAGGCTTGAAATATCTCACTTTACATGTAATGAGTCTATATAATATATTAGTTTCACCTTTTAAGTTGAATTACTGAAATAAATGAACTTTTGCACGATATTCTAATTTTTTTAGTTTCACCTGTATTGTAAAACACTCTAATAATTTTTATTGTGTAGTTAAAATGAAATGTATAAAGCAAGAATCTGTATATCCTTCTACACAGTCCTGAATAAATATAATAATCCCGCTATGATGGACACCTTGCTAGTGTGAATAGCTGAGAGGAATGTCAGCGCATATGTTTGCTAATTGTATATGAGTGTGTGAGTGTGTATGAGTGTGTATGGCAGCTGGCCGTACATCACCGCATCAAAGCGTCTTCTCTTGAGGCATTTGTACAGTATGTGCTCACGGTCATATCTCTACTTACATAAACTCCCCCCATGATGATAAACATCGTGCCGTCTTTGGTCTCTTGCCTGTTTTTGAAGAAAATTAGTCTTTGTCTGTTCAAAACTCACCAATATTGGGGGTATGTGGGTTGATATTTGACTTTTTTTTAGCAAGTAAAAGGCCTTTTAGTATAATTATACAAACGTCCAGCTGGGAAATTAGATTTTTATCAAGTAAACATAATAATAACTTTGATATTGTTAGTAATATTTCAACTGGACTGAAGCATCTTTGGTTTACTTGATTATCTGAAAAAAGTCTGAAATATGATCATCAGGAGTTCATCTGTCAATCATTATTGTGTTAAAAGTTTTAAAACTACGGAGATTTGATAATAAACGAAGCATTTAAATTAGGGCTGTCAAATGATTAATCACGATTAATCACATCCAAAATAAACGTTTTTTTTACATAATATATGTGGGTGCACTGTGTATAATTATTTTGTATATAAATACACACACATGCATGTATATTTAAGAAAAAAACATTATTTATATATAAAATATTTATATTTATATATAATATAATTTATATATAAATCTATATACAGTATATACATGAAAATATTTCTTAAATATATACAAGCATGTGTGTGTATTTATATATATAAAATAATTATACACAGTGCACCCACATATATTATGTAAAAAAACTTTTATTTTGGATGTGATTAATCACGATTAATCATTTGACAGCCCTAATTTAAATATCGTCTTACTAAGACATTATTGGCAGTGACGACTGATATTTAAATTATTTTATGTCAGTTATAAAGATCTCATTGATTTACAGAATTTCATCTTTTTGTTAATATAAATATCAGCATCTGCACCAAATTGCATATTTTTGCTCAGTTTGAGCCTCTGAATAAAACTGAGCTGTTTTTCCTCCATATTCACACTATATGAGCCATAAAAGCTTGACGAAATATAACACAAAACATTAAAAGCATGCAATTGTGTTTTGATTTTTTTTTTAAAGTTCAATAAACTATTCCATTAAATTTTTTTTTAATATGTCAGACTTT